ATAGATAGATAGATAGATAGATAGATAGATAGATAGATAGATAGATACAAAACTCCTTACTTGGGTGCCCAGACACTTAGATTTTAATTGAACCAAGATTCATCATCACAGTAAGTTTCTTCAAATTTATTAACACTTCATCAGTGGAGGGGTCTATGATAAACCCTGCCTCATCCATAGTACAACAGCTAAATAACAAGGAGGTTAAAACATCACTCAGGGTGTGCCCAGTGGTTTAAGGAAGAAGATTATAAAAGTTAATTAAATCATGCTAACTCCACCCACTCCACCTTAGGGTGGGGCTTTCAGATCTGTATATAAAGGTTTCTACACTGCACAGTTCGATCCGTTCAGAGGCAAGTGGAGGTGGCTGCACTGTGGTTAGGTTCTGCAAGTCACAACTGCTGTCCAGAGAGTTCAGAAGACTCAGTACCCCTGAAGCAAAGGGCAGACTTTCCTGAGAGCATTGATGGTGACAGAAGATCTGGAGGTGAGTTGAAATTCTCAGAACACGAATGTATACTTCCACTGATTTCAAAATTTCTCAAATAGGAGTACTAGTTATAGTTAATAAGGAGAATGCCGTTATTTTCAGTTTACTGTTGACTTATAGAATTTTTATCTATCATGACTCTAAAATTTAACATTAATACGGTTTTCATTTATTTCATGCTCCTTGTGACTCTAAATTTTGAATGTATGGAGATACCACATAGTTCTATTTTCAGCATGGTACCTAAACTTAGCGCACATTATAGAATTCACAGAATGCTATGTACATAAGCCCTGCCACAGTAAAAGAAGTCTTTTGTGTCTCAAATAAGTTTTTTAAGAATATTTTATTAGTTTATTATTTTATGACAAATTTGTTTAGTGACATCATACATTTAATGAGCCCATTGCGCTATGGCTTCAGTTCATTAACAGCTTACCTAGCACATATTTTGTTCTAGCGCTAGCACTAAGAAAGTGAATCACAAAATGAATTGAAACCACTCAGTTTTCCTGGGTGCTACTTGGGAGGTTCAGGCAGGAGGATCCTGAGTATGAAGCAAGCCTGTGGTTAATAATTTTGATTTTGACTTGATTTTAAAAGTTAAAGGTATGTTTTCTATTTAGATCCAGGTGATGTAATCATTTTCCTTGTAGAAAATTTTTAAATAATTGATACATCTGTAATTTTTACATAGTTACACTTAAAAATAATTCTCAGTGTTATACTCAAGAATTCAGTTTATACTCTCAAAATTTCACCCTCAAGAGCCTTAAAGTCTTCCAGGGAACACCTTTATTATTGGTTGTCCAACCCAGAACATTTAGCTATATATTCACAAACAGCAACAGATTCCACAGCTTGTGTATAACGTGAATTAGGTACATTTCAGAGCACTTTTCTGAAACATTGTAGCATTCAGGTCTGGCACAGTGGCTCACACTTGTAATCCCAGCATTCTGGGAGGCAGAGGCAGGTGGATCTCTGTGAGTATGAGGCCAGCTTGGTCTACAAAGCGAATTCAGGACAGCCAAGACTACACAGAAAAACCCTGTTTTGAAAAACAAACAAACAAACAAACAAACAAACAAAGAAAAGAAAAATTGAAAGTGACCTGTTCAGTTACATCACATGAGAGCAGACAATATCAGTGAGGGAATCACAATGCTCAAAGCTATTGCTATGTGTGCACGTTCTAGAGTCCAGATCCTTTATAGAATCCTTATGAAACAGGCAATACTTTTGCTGAGGCTTAGAATGGGTAAGGAAATAAAACTGAAAATGTGGTAATGAAATGCATGTTTGAAACCTATGCAAGATGATTCAGCATAAAACTCTTACACCACGCACAGTCTCCTAAAGAGTGTATAAATCCATCATTTCTTACAGACTCATATTCAAACCACGGAAATGCCACAGTTGGATGTCTAGGGAGTTCAGTGTCCCGTCTCCTGTCTCCTGTTTTCAGCTCAATTGCCTGTAAGTGATGGAATCTTGGCTCAACCACCATACTTAGGGCAGCACAGTCTGAAAATCCCTTTCCTTTTAATCATACTCTTTGTATTTTCTCTTTTTATTCCATCTCCCAGAGGTTTTCTTTTTCTTTTCTTTTCTTTTTTTCATCTAAGCTTCTCTAACCTGGTGTTTATCTCATTCTCCTTTACTTTCTGAGTCTCACCATGTAGCACTGGTTGTCCTAGAATTTGATGTGTGGACCAGTCTACCCTTGCATTTACAGAGATCTGCCTCCCTGGTGCTGGGGTTAAAAGTGTACCTCACCATGACCAACTTCATTCTCTTATTTTTCAGGCAAGTTCTAGTACAATTTGGAAAAGGAGGCGGAAGAGAGTGTAACTGGGTTACATAAAAGCCAAACAACATTTATTTCAAAAGGAGAAACTATTCATTTATATGTAAATTAATTGTATAAGCATCACTTTACAAGTGATATCTGATTTTTTTCATAGATTTCAATAATGAAGTCTAACATTCTTTTTCTTTCTTCTAGAAATACAGATTCACACAAACCGTGAAATTCAGAAACTATCTACCAAGTTATATGTGAAAGTGTGTGTAAGCATTTCAAGCTGCTGTTGAAGTATTTGTACAACTGAGATATTATTAGTGAGCACAGAACCTAAGCTAATAATGGCATCATTTGATGACCAATGTCACTGGCCTGAAGGAGACATTCTGAAGTTACTGGACTCCATCAAGGATAACATCCCATCAGGTGACTTCAGAGCATTCAGAAAAACCCAGGAAGACATAGACTGGGACAAAGTAGCTTTTGAGAATTTTTCAGGAGAAATGTGCAAACGAAAGTGGATGGAGATTTCTCATAACTTAAGGAAATTCCGCACACTAACAGAATTAGTGTTGGAAGCTAAGGAACTTATTAAACAACCTTGCAAAAGGACAGTCAAGCAACATCCTGACTTCCCCAAAAGACCTCTGACCGCCTATCTGCGCTTTTACAAAGAGCAGCATGCCAAGTACTGTCAGATGTACCCTGAGTACAGCAACCAGCAGCTGACCAAAGTTCTAGCCGAGAAATACCGTCAGCTGCCAGTGGAGGTCAAGCAGAGATATATCCAGGACTTCCAGAAGGAGAAACAAGACTTTCAGAAAAAAATTACTCAATTCAAGGAAATACATCCTGGTGTAAGGCATCCCAAGAAATCTGTGGAGCCAAGAAGTCATCAAATCAAAGTATCTAAAAAACCACAAGGAGATATGAAAACCGTAAAGTCTCCTCTAGAAATGAAACTTCCCAAAACAGTTTCTTCACATACAATGTTTCAGGGAGAACCCAAGAAACCTCCTATGAATGGATATCAAAAATTTCACCAAGACTCATGGTCAAGTCCTGCTCTGCATCACCTGTCCTTTAGGGAGCGCTATGTTGAGATTAGCAGGCGTTGGCATAGAGTCCCATTGGACCAGAAAGAACTTTATAACAGACAGGCTGAGGAGCTACAGAAAGGATACTGGGTGAAGCTGAAGCACTGGCTCCAGAATTTGTCGCCTGAGGAATTTGCAGCATACAATGAGGCAAAGGCTTCCTGCGGTAAGCGAAAGAGCAGAGCCACATCAGCAGGCACAAGCTCCAAGTCTGGACAAACAGATCTGCATTCCTCCTCAGCAGAGGAGCTGCAAGTAAGACCTGGAAAAGTAAAAAGGCTTCTGGAGCCTGGGACAGATTCCTCAGACACAACTACGGGCCGTGATGGTGGCTCCCAGGCAATCAGGCGGAAAATGACAGAAAGTGACAAAGAAGAAGACAGTAGCAGTTCTTCATACTCTAGCAGTTCAGACGAAGATGATGACTATCTTCCTCGGGGGAAACTTTAGACTCCATTTTAGCCACTTTCATATCCTAAATCAAAATCATTGTTTAAAATCCTCCCAGAAAAACCCAGGGTTTCCCTGACAGAGAGGGAACTCTCCTTTCTGTGTTTTTGTACTCCCTTGCTTCTGTCTCCTACATTCTTCCTTTCCTTACTACACAAAGGAGTAGTTTGGGGAGAAGGGACTTTGCCTACCTCAGGTTCCTAGGCTTAGGAAGAGACCCTTCTAAGACAGCACGTAAAAGCTATTTACATTTTATTTGAACAAACTATAGAACCATTCCTACAAAGCTAGGCACTGAATATACAAGTGGTATCAGTTAATTCTAGGAAGGGTCTTTTAGTCCGTGCAGATGCAAACAGTGAATCTCGTCTCTGATATTCAGAATAAGTAAAAATACAGATATCGATAAATACTTTTTCTATGACGTTATCTAACTTGCCTTTAATACATCAGTACCACATTCCTATGGTTATTCTAATTCAAAGAATTTTAAATATAGTTAATGTTAACTTCTTGTCATTTTGCTTCTGAATATTCTAAACTGTTTTCATGAATATTAGCTTCATAATAGTTGTTTGAAGACCTTTAAGACTTTATATTTGTACCTAAATATTAATTTTATATATTTTAGCTTATACATAAATTGTAAATTTTGTACATATTAATAGAGTAATGGAGTATTTTGATAAGTATTTGCAATGTATAGTGTTCAAATAGAGTTATATATGTATATATCTTCAAATATTTGTCATTTATTTACGGTGAAATTTGCAAAAATTATTTTTTAAGATTTATAGCACATTATCATTCTTATTTTAGTGAATCATTGTTTCTGTGTTCTCCAAAGGAGACAGTTATTTTGATGTATATTTTGCAACATTTACAATTTTTGTACCTCTCTCTGTTTAATTTTGGCTTCTAAAAATGTTGAATCAAATATATGTAACAATATTAAAAGATAGTAGTGATAAATTCACTCTTTTTTTTAAATTTTAGCTAAAAGTTGCAGGATTTACTGCCATAAAATTGTATTGATATAAGAATGTGAAATAAGTTATACCATGTTGCCAGAAATAAATACTTAATTCGACAATTAAACAACTTTAATGAATGTTTATTGAGTTTACTCTGTGTAATCATATAATGATGGAATTCCTCTATAGTGTAATCCTCAGAGTTCTCTAGAGATACAAAGAGAGTTAAAAGATCAGTGGATGCATGTTAAGAAGTATATATATGGAGGCTGAAAAATCTCATGAACCACTTACTAGTGAAAGACAGTACAGTGTAGTTTTTGTCTGAAGGCCTGAGAAACTGCTATGAAAGCCAGCCTAAGGTAAAAAGGTCATGCTGAATTTGGGGTTTCTAGCAGCTGCCAGCTTGGGATACACCCTGCCATCCTCAAGTCACATGAGCAATAGTTTTTGTATTTCATAGTGCAAGTATCATCAATAATCACCATAACACAGATTCATTATACAGTCTTTTTGTTCTCTGTATTCTGTAGCCTTGGCTGTCCTGGAACTTGCTATATAGACTAGGCTTGTCTTGAGCATAGAGAGATTCAGAGTTAACAAATGTGTACCACAACACCTGGCGTCATTATGCAGTCTTGACATTTACTTTGCCTAAAGAAATCAATCTACAAAATTTCACCTCAGGTAAGTTGTTGGAACAAGAGCAGAAGGTGGCTAGGCTCTTTTGCCAAAACATAAGGACTCTTCCTAGTCTAGCTGTGAATATCGTTCGCTTGTGAAACCTACCTCTGGAGGTGCAACTTCAGAACTCGTTTGTGTTCAGCACCACTGTCTTCCAGGCTCTGCTACAACAGCCTGCTAGCCTCTGCTTACAGTGTTCCACCAATTTTTTAGTCCAAAATTTCAGTCTTCTATGATTCTCAGAGAAAGAGAGAGAGGGAGGAATTGGGGGGGCAGCTAGACAGACAGAGAGAAAGAGATAAAGAGATGAGATTTTAGGCATGATAGATTTAGAATGATAGCAACACAATACCATCACCAACAGCAAAACAACATGGTCTCTGGTACCAACTTCTGTATTAATTACTTTTCTGTTTCTACTATGAAATACCATGACAATGGCAAATTATGGGAAATGGTTTATACAACAATTATGCTCTACTTTAGGAAGCTGACATGAGCTATTTCTTAAGGTGTACAGCTTTATTATGTTTCCATATATTTTTCTATCCATACTTGTCTTTTTCTCCCTGATGATCTATTAGGCCAAATCTCCTATACCTTGTAACCATGGTTTAATGATCGTACGGTATCTTTGCATGTAGTTGCCTTGATAAAAGCTCAGGACAAGAAATATTCTGGATCATCCTTAGAGCTTCTTGCATGTTCTTTGGGTCACCAACCTACCCTGCCAAAAATTCACATTCCAGACTCTGAGTCATGTTTCATGAAATGAACTCTGCTATCCGTGGCATAGTGTGGCACCTGGACAGGAGCTTGAGTGATGTGTAATAATGGGGCAGCAACAGTGGGAAAGATTCCATCACATTCCCATTAGTTCCATCCTTGGAGCTGTTTAAACAAATGGAGGCTGCGGTTGCTTCAGTGGGTAATGCAAATGTCACGCACACAGTTTCCAAAAGAAGGTGGGCTGCATGTCGAAATAGAGGACTGGGTTGGTGAAGTACTTAAGAAAGAAGAGACACAGGAATGAAAATTCCTATGACTGCATGCTTTTTTTTTTATCATGGGCTGTGATAAAACCAGAGTTGAAATTATTTCAGTAGTGTTTCATAAAAACATCCCTGGTTCCAGGGACACAGAAGGTAAATGCAGATATAAGGTTATTATGCCTACATTACCCACATCTCCTCTTCCTAATTCTTTAAACAAAACATAAAAAAAAATGAAAGTAAACTTTCACAATTATAGCACCCCTTTGGCCATATTCCATAAGCTTAAGCAGCTTCTTAAGCTTCACAGTGAGCATATCAAACTCTACCTGAAACTAGGGAACCCTACCCAGCTCCTCCTAAAAATATTATAGAAACCTTTTTTTTTTTTTTTTTTTTTTTTTTTTTTTTTGCTGACTTTCTTGATTATGTTACAAAAGCAATAAAAGGAAAATAATCCTTCCTCAGTCAAGACATATCTTAACCAAACAATTCACTTTTGAAAGCACTGGTATGGAGGTATAAAGACTTTTTGCTCACTTTGGACAAAGGGGCACTACCAGTGATTACATCACAGTATGCCAAACTGCTGCAACCCAGGAACATAAAAACAATGCCTTTGCTGGAGCACCGTGGCAAGCACTTAGACTAAGCTAGCGTGTGTTAATAGTGGGAAGCAAAAAGATTGTAAAAATGTCATCATCGTGGTTCCAAGACTAACAAATTTTAATATGCCCAATTCTGCACATAGATGTACCCCGTGTGCCATAAATAGATTCATTGAGCTAATCAATATCCATCCAAATCGGACAATGTTGAACAACATCTCTCTGCTTCTGACATTGAAAAGTAACTACAAGGGCTCTCTCCAAGGTTCAGCAACAATTCAGGGACATACCCAATGGGCAAAAGAGTATCTTTCTCACCAGCAATCCCAAAGAGTGCACATTTAGACCTGACAGCTGCTAGAAATGTGGCTCTTAAAACTGCAATGGTCATTCAAGCCATGCCTCTAGGAATTTGGTGATCTAGTGCTCCAACTAAGTGGGATTAGTTTGGGGAAAAAATAGTCTAAAGTCTAAATTGAAAGTAGTCTAAATTTAAATTTAAATTTAATGCTGTTCCTGGTTTAAATGATGATTATAACCCCCCCCCCCAAAAAAAGCTACTAATGTCTTCTATTTCTATGTCAGTAAAATATTTTGTATTTACAAGGGCTATTCTATTCCTCAATTTCTTTTTTTCCATCTTTTTAATTTTGATTTTTATATTAATTACAGTTTATTTACCTTGTATCCTAGCTGTAGCCTTCTCCCTCATTCCCTCCCAATCCCACCCTCTCTCCCTCATGTCCTCTCTAAGTCTGCCCCTTTCTAAGTCCACTGATAGGGAGGTCCTCCTCCCCTTCCATCTGAACCTAGCTTATTAGGTCTCATCAGGACTGGCTACAATGTCCTCCTCTGTGGCCTGGCAAGGCTGCTCCTCCCTCGGGGGTGGTGAGGGAAGTCAAAGAGCCAGCCACTGGGTTCATGTCAGAGACAGTCCCTGTTCCCCTTACTAGGGATTCCACTTGGATACTGAGCTACCATGGACTATGAAGAGCTTTAAGACAGCACTACTGCCTTAGGTATGTCAGTGAGGAGGCACTCCCCTACCTCATAGGTTGTGCCTCTTTTCCTGAATGATGGGAGAAACAGTATTTCAATCAGCCCCAACTTTATGGTCCCATGAACCAAAGAAGCTTAGAGAGAGAACTAGAGGAAAGTACAGGAAAATGTCATATCATGTGACAAAAACATATGAGGAAACAACCCTCTCTAACTCTTAAATGATAAAACTTTTTCTGGTCTTATCAATACTATTGCTGATAATACTACCATTGATTCTACTTTAGGGCTACAAAAATAGGCTACTCAATCATCTTCCATGTTAATTGGTCTTGGATTCCCAATCTTGGTAAGAAACATTTCTGAAGTACTGAAATAGAACAAAGCATACAGGATCCATGCAACCATTTGTAGCAGACATTCCTGTAAACCATGGAGATAAAATTTGTTGTCTCAAATGGTAGTTACTATCTTTTAAAAGAATTAAGGAACCTATGCTTCTAGGATTGAGAAAAGATAATGGTTTAGAGATTTTTATATTTGGTATAGGATAGCCAAATTTAGAGGAATTATCACTGATAATACACCAACACAGATTCATGCTATTCCTGCCTTATAGTTGATTTCTCTCATTGAAGTGATCAGTAACCAATAAATGGGGAACAATTGGAACATCTTAAAGTATTGGAACAGCAATAATTCGATGTTGTAGCTACTTAGAAGAGCCTGGTGACCCCTCGTTT